AATGATAAAACACCCCTTTTCCTTTGAACAAGAATTCTACAGGCTGCATGGAGATTTCTAGATAGAGGGTTCCTTCCTGCAGCTGTCCTGAAGACTTCTGCTAGTGCTATAGCTTCACTATGTATTTCCTATGTATTTATTTACAATCTACCTTTCCTCCAAGAAGCTCAAGGCAACACACAACAACACGGTGAGGTTGGTTAGATAATAATAAAAAAAAGCAACTGGGTCATCCAATGACCTTGATGGCAGAGTGTGATTTGAACCAGGGTCTCCCCAGTTCTGCCCTGGCAAATCAGACCACATCACACAGGTTTTCAGTGCGTACTAGCCATCTGAAGAGATGCTTGTATCATCACCACAAAAGGAAATGGGGTTGTGATGCTAGCATTTCTGCTGCAAAAAAAAATGTCGATTTTAATAAGTTCTTTAATAAGTTCAAATGGTGAAAGAACAACTTTTTAGAAAAACAACACAAAGCTTTCAAAATGCTGCTGATAGTTGCACTTCTTCCTACACCTTCCCACACATCCCTGATATTGTTTATCAGTGAACCAGAATGTTCTTTATAGTCAGCATATGGGGGCAACAGAGTCTGCTGACAGTGCTTATCAATAAGTCATTCTTATTCTCCCTCATACAGTGGTTTCCAAACTCATTGCTTGCTGTCTCACCTTAAGATGAGAAGACACTGTTACACATACTTGGATCTGTGTAGCTATATTATCAGATAGAATTCAAGAATACAATCCAACTTCAGGATATGAAGTTTGGGCCAGTGAGGGTTTTGGCCTGGGGAGATTTCAGAGGACCAGATACAGAGCCCTGGAGGGCTGCATTTGGCCTCCAGACCTGAGGTTCCCCACTGCTGATCTAATACATCTGGTCTAATACATCCTTTTGGTACAGAGCAGACCTGGAATCAGATGGGGAGTTCAAGTATCCCCCTTCAAAAAATCAACGTGTCTCATCACAAAGTATGCATTGACTTCATTTCTTCAACCCAGGGGACACCATCTTAGCATGCCTTGCTGTTCTGTCTCCGCTACCCACAGCTGGAGAGGACAGCAAAATCAGACTCTGGCCTCATGACCTCTGGACAAATGTACTTCCATCATCCACTTGTATATTTGGGTTAGTTCTGGTCTCTGGGAATTTAGCAATCTTCAACAGAAAATGGCACCAGCACCCTTGGGCAGCTGTCAGGGTCCCAGAAGCTTAGCAACACCATCCTGGAAATGAATGAGGAGCCAGCATGATTAACTCAGGCTGAAATCATGCCCCCCACAGGGAAAAGAAAACAAGTTGAGGTCCCTCACAAATCAGGGCTCTGTGTATGTGTGTGTGTGTGTGAGAGAGAGAGAGAGAGAGAGAGAGAGAGAGAGAGAGTTTGCACCTTCCCCCCATTCTCAATTGTACTGGAAAATGGCTCCCATTATTGCTTTTCTATTTGGGATCTTTTCAGGCTGTGTCTGTCCTATTTCATTGCCAAACACTTTTTCTGTGTTTATAATAGATGACACAAGTGCCTTGTGGAACTGCATGACAATGAAAGCATTCTTTTGGCAGCTTTGCTTTTTGAAATAAGATTGAATCACGATTGTTAAATAGGATCTAATAGTGTTTGATACCGAGCCTATAAATTCATGTCTAACAGAATCTGAGTCATCAATCAAATCTTTTGGCCAAGTTGAAAAACAATTTTGTTTTGGCCCATTCAGCTTTTTCTGTCCCTGAAATCCCTTGGAAAATTCAGGTGGGTTGGTAAAACTGAAGGATAAAGAATTTAAAGTCCTAGAGAAGATAGTAATATTTTCCTCAATGTGAAAATCCATCATTAGGACAAGACCCGTCAACAGACATAATATGAAAGGATGGTTCCTTAGTGTAGCTGGGAGGAGGAAGTAGGGTTATGATTCCTGCATGCAGGGAGTTGGACTAGATGACCCTTGGGTCCTTTCCAACTCTTCAATTCTATGATTCTATTTGTGCAGGAAACCTACATTCCCAGTGCAACATTATGGTCGCATAGCCACGATTTACACAAAGATGTGAGTCAATGTTTCAGTATTGACCTACATTTGCTCTCCAATTCTGCCATCTCCTCAGCCCTGTCCTCTACCTCTGCTGTCTCCTCTGAGCTTGATGAAATGACAATAGAGAGCTCAACAGGTCTCGTAGACTGATGTCCCCCAATCGTCCAGCTCCACTTCCTCTTTGGCCCCCAAAGAGGGAACATCTCCAGCTGCTTCTGGAGATGGAGAGGGTCGAGCTCCACCCTCAGGCAATGGGTACCATTCTGGTGCCACTGTGTGATATGAAAGTACAGTAATCACAACAATAATGTGGGTGCTTGCCTCCAAAGTTCCCTCTCTCCCTCACTTTGCATGGACAGTTGCCATGCAATGCACAGATCAGTTGGGCAAGCAAGCTGAACTGCCCTTCTCTGCACAGAATTGAAATGTTCCCAATTCTGCAGAAAAGTATAACTGGGAAGATATATTTCCTGTTCCACCACCTCTACACAGGTCAACCAGGGTGCTGACGAGGACCCAGAGGAAAATTCCCATGAGAGACAACAGGAATCCAACTGATTTCACACCCTCCTGGGGCCAACCATTTTACTAAATTCAGCACCCCTGCAGAAAGCAGAGGCCACCACTAGCTTAATCCTATCCAGATAGTGATCTGTCCATGACATGGGCACTATACTGGGATGCTTCATCTGTGCATCACCTGTCCCGGAAAGAAAGCAGATTGAGATCATGAACTGCCACAAATGTTTCCCACCTAGCCCCAAGCATAGACCCTGATCACAACAGCACATTCCCATTCCTCAAACACACACACAATTCTGGATCTCCAGCTAATCTTATCCAAGCAGAGACAAAGGGCTGCTTAACCCAATCTTCCTCAGTATGAACAGCAGCAGAAGTTCTGCAAGAGTTCTGTATGCCACAAAAGTCCCCCTGCTCCTATACAACCCTATTGTTCATTCCTGTGCCAGCCAGCAACCTAGCAAGTGGGAATGAGCAACTGACACACCCAAGACGTATCTAATTTTATGCCAAATTAGTCAGTGAGAGAGATGCTGCTGGCCCTCCAGCAATTGGTAGAATATGCCTAACGGCACAATCCCATACACATCTCTACTCAGAAGCAAGTTCTCCTGAGTTCACTGGAGCTTGTTTCCCATAAGAAGGTGTGCATGACTGTGCTGATTACTCTGTGGGAACACAGGATCTGAGGGGGAGGAGTTACAGCTGAGAGGGAGTCCAGCTGAGGGAGGATTTGGCAACCAGCAGCAGTCAAACTTAGCTCAGTACAGATCTTGGGAGCTTGCAAACAGGGGCCTCCAGCTATTGGTAGAATATGGCTAACGGCACAATCCCATGCACATGTGTACTCAGAAGCAAGTTCTCCTGAGTTCACTGGAGCTTGTTTCCAGTAAGAAGGTGTGTGTGGCTGATTACTCTGTGGGAACACAGGATCTGAGGGGGAGGAGTTACATCTGAGAGGTGAGTAAGCAACCAGCTGCAGTCAAACTTAGCTCAGTGCAGATCCTGGGAGCTTGCAAACGGGGGGGGGGGGTTAGGCCTTCCCCTTAATCTCCCCTGCTAGAGTTCTGTCTCTTGGTGAGCATAGGACTAGAGGCATGGAAGGTGATGGAGCTGCTACAGTGACCTGTAAAAGCTATGCCATGTTTGTCATTGTGGCAGAGAACAAGCAACAGTACACTTTGTAGCAATTGCAAGCTGGCTGTCTTGCTGCAAGAGAAGGTGCAGTAACTTCCGCCTAGCCACACCTCAAGCAGCAGGACAGCATGCAGCGTTACTTGATAGAGCTGAGTTGACTGAGACTGAGCACCAAGATAGAAGGGGTGGCCCCAGCATGGAGAAGGATTGCCCATTGCAAGAGTCTAACCCCTGGAGCAATGTAGGGTGGTTACTAATACATTTAGACCAGAGCAGACAATACTCTATCAACTCAGCTCTATATTGCCCAGTCCTATTTTCTGGTTTAAAAATGCCTGAGTTGGGTACGGAGTTGAGTCTGGCCCACTGCTTTCCCTTTGCGCAAATCACTGCCAACTATAGCAACCCCACTCACAATTTCACATGTTAAAGGAAATGTCTGCTTAGTTTGTCCTAAGCATATATGGTCTAACTTGTACATTTTCAAAGTTAGCCTTCACAATGTGCTTGAGTCATTGGAGGCCACTAGCAGAGACTCCCCCAAACAGCCCAGTGATCCAGCAGGTATCTAATGAATAAGCTATCCTGGACCCTTGCAAATCAATACAAAACCCTGTACACATGCACATATTGTGCAGACACACACTGTTCAGTTGTGACCCATCACAGCTTACCAGTAGTCATTCACACGGAAAGTTAGACATATCTGGGGTGGGTGTAACATGTGTTGCCACCTTACTATGCGACTCACCTACTTGGAAGCAACTTCTTTGCAGGAATTTCACCATCTGTAAAGCAGGTGTTGGCAAATGGTGCGGGCATGGGGAGAGCATGAAAAGAAAGGGGGCTGGGTTTTGTCTGTCTTGTCTTGTTTTGTTTGTTTGCCAGGGATTCCTAGAACCTGGGCCCTGAAAACCATCAGGTCACACAGGAAAGAGTACCTCTAAGAAAACGCGGGCAGCAGCTACTCTGCCAGCTCCTAACAGCCGCCTCAGGCATCGCCCCACAGACAGACGCCTATTAAGGGTTAGGGCGGAGGAAAGCGGCTCCCTCGTCAAAGGAGGCGCTAGGTCCCGCGACTCTTCCTCCAAAACGTCCCGTCTGCTCCACCTTCTCCGTGGAGGAGGGAACCACCCCGTCGTCGTGTGAGAGAAAACCGCTCAGCTGCTGCGACCTGCTGCGGTCCCTCAGGCAGGCCTGCGGCTCTACTCGCCCCTGTTTCTGCCCGGTTTGGCGCGGCACGCGGCCCCCTTCGCCCGGCGGCCATGTGACCGCGCACACAGGCGCACACGCCGCCCGCTCTCGATGTGCGGCGCCGAAGCCCTTCCATGGTTCTCGGCTCTGGGGCTGCTGCTGCTGCGCCTGGCCGTCGTTCCCGCCCCTGCTGAGCCGGTGGCGTCAGGTGAGTCCCGGCAGAAGGGAAGGCGCGTCGCGCTTTGCGCTTGCTCGCCTGTTTCTGCCTTTCTGTTCGCGCTCTTTCAAGGCTTCGTCTGCAATCTCGGCGAAGCTTGCGAGGTCAGCTGGCAGAATAATAACCATGGCGAGGAAAGTGTAGCTTTCTTCTTCAGAATCCTGTCCTGTGGGCTCTTTGTGGTCCGATGTTCTGGACTGAGCTATGTGCTGTTGCCTGGGGGTAGTTTGATTCTGGCCTTGGTTCTGGAAGCTGCTTAAATGCCGCTGTTCCAGTTTGGAGCCGATAAACAAGAGTGCTTCTGAGCTCATAGAATCATAGAGTTGGAAGAGACCACAAGGGCCATCGAGTCCAACCCCCTGCCAAGCAGGAAGCACATGCGGAGTATCTTCGTCACCGCACGGATTACAAGTGCTGTGCAAGCCCTCAAAGCACAGGAGAGTCCTGACGGGACAGAGAGCTCTGAGAGGAATGTCTTCTCTTCCGCTCCCTGCCCCCTTCTATTCCTCAAGGTTTCCTACATTCATGGGAGCCAACTCTTAGAGGCCGAGATCCCTTCTGCCCCACAGTAAAATATTTGAGGGAGCGCCCCCCCCAGTTGATGGGCATTGCCATTCAAATGGTATGTGTGCACTGCATCTTGTAGTTCATTATGTGGGGTGGGGCTTACCTGTCTCTCCCACCCCCCAATATTTTATTCAAGTTGGCACCCTTGCCCAGATTGCTTGATATACAAAAACAAGTATTGCCTGTTCTTTTAAAGTTAACAGGTTATTTTTATGCATGCCTACTTAGAAGTAAGTCACACTGAATTAACTAGATCTTAAGTGTCAGGGGTCCCTTTACCTTTACCCTTTTAAGTGTAAGTCTATGGGTTTGCAACTGGAATAGGTTTACGTCCCAAGTATGCATGCCAAAGGCACAAATGCAGTAAAGTTTCTGTAGTTATTTGGAGTTGTAAAAACTATTGTTTTTAGTGTGTGTGTGTGTGTGTGTGTGTTTTGAATCCTCTCTCCTTACTGAATACTCTTTGGCACTCCCGCTGTCCTCTCTTGAAACCTGTCTTAAAATCTGTAAGAAATGCATCTGGCACCTTAATAAAAAATGCTGGGAAATATGGTTCCTGCGTTACTACACAGCACAGTGTGTCTCAGTGAGATGGAAATGATACATCTTCTTTGCTGCTTTGGCTGCTAAGAGTCTAAATATTCATATTTTGCTATTCATATTGCAGTACAGTGCATGCCTATTTTGTCGAAAGTCAGATTTTGAGGAAGCAGGGTCCATGGTCTGGTCAGGTTTCTGTTTTACACAGAAAAGTAGGAGAGTGAGAGTGAGAGCTTTTCCATCCCTGAGCAAGAGATAGCATTACTTTTGCAGCAAGAAATCATATGTAGAGGTGGTGATGTCCTTTTAAGTTGAGTACAAATAGTAGCAACTGGCGTGTTGAGGCAGCTCATATGAATGAATTTACTTTATTACGGTCACAGACCAGCATAAGCGGCAGCTCATATAATCCACACTTTTTTTGTTCAGTAGATGCAAAGGATACTGAGGACACAAATGCCATCTATACCAAAAGAGGGGAAAGTCTGATCTCCACTAAAGGAGCAGGTTACCTGGCCTTTGTTAAATGGACGCGGGTGGTGCTTTGGTCTAAACCACTGAGCTTCTTGGGCTTGCTGATCAGAAGGTTGGTGGTTGAATCTGTGCGACGGAGTGAGCTCCCATTGCTCTGTCCCAGTTTGAAAGCATGCCAGTGCAAGTAGATAAATAGGTACCACTGCGGCCGGAAGGTAAATGGCGTTTCCATGCATTCTGGTTTCCATCATGGTGTCCCATTGCGCCAGAAGTGGTTTAGTCATGCTGGCCATATGACACAGAAAGCTGTCTGTGGATAAACGCCGGCTCCCTTGGCCTGAAAGCGAGATGAACGCTGCAACCCCATAGTTGCCTTTGACTGGACTTAACTGTCTAGGGGTCCTTCACCTTTTACCTTACGTTTGCGAAGAGAGACCCTCATTAGGTATGAAGTGTGGGTGCTATGCTTCTTTCCTGAGCAAAGTGATAGCAAGAGTCATAACATCACAATGCCAGTGACACATAGATTAGTTTACATGCTACAACTACACCAATCTAACATGGTCATAAAACTGAGGCAGTTTTGGTTGCAATCAGAATCCTGAATTGCCATCAGCCAGAATCCTTGGCAGCTGCCTCTGCAGACAGGGAAAACCGGCCAGCGTTTAAAACTTGTTGGCCTGTCCATCCAGATGATCAGCTTTTCAAAATGCACATTGACAAATGGTGGCATCCTTATTGTCCACACATGTTAACTTGTTTGTTTTTCCCAACAGCATTGCGTTGTACTTTGCCCAGCCCTAGGAATGTTCATTTTGTCTCCAGAAACCTGAAGAATGTCTTACACTGGTTGCCGCCAGAAGGGATTCCTGAGGACAAATTAATTTATAGTGTGAAGTATTTAGTGTATGTTTTGCTGTTGATTTTTCTGTACTACCAATACTAGTTTGTGGGTTTGTTTTTTTAATGGTGCTTTAAATGTGCAACATGCTTCATCATGCTTTCTTTTGCAGCAGTAACCTCAAGGTTGAAGTTGAAGCTGGCGTAGCTTCATTCAGTAGACCGGCTCCTTTAAAATATAAACAGATCTTGGATTCTGGCAAGACAGTGATCAACAGGAGTCCCTAGCATCTCTGTCTGTCTCCCCCACATGCCCTCTCCTTGCTAGCACCTAAAAGGGAAAAATCACGAGTGGTTCTTGCTATTACATGAATTATTGAACGTAAGCATAGCAGTAAGAGGCATTGGATACATTGCACATTTTCAGTATGATAATCCAAAATTAATCACTGGACATTGTAGGGAAACACCCAAGCAACTTTGGTCCGATATGTATGAGCAATTGAATCATAGATTCATAGAGTTGGAAGGGACAACAAGGGTCATCCAGTCCAACCCCCTGCAATGCAGGAATCTTTCACCCAACATGGTGCTTGAACACACGACCCTGAGATTAAGAGCCTCATGCTCTACCGGCTGAGCTGCCTTACTTTGATTGTTAAACATTTTAACTTGCATTGATTAAATTATATATATTTTGTTTCAATTCTTGCAAGCCACTGCAACGGCACTGCTTGAAAGTGCCTTATAAATTGAATGAATAGTTCATACTGTCATAATCACTTCAGCACATAGTTAAACTACAGAATTCACTCCCACAAGAAGTAGCGATGGCGACGAACTCAGGTGGATGTTTTTAAAGATTAGACAAATTGCTATAGGATAAGGCTACCAATTGTTAGTAGCCATGATCATAGAATGAGCACTGACCTTTTCTCTTTCTATTGATTATTTAAAATTCAGATATGGCACAGCTAGATGGATTAACGATGCAGAATGCAGAAATATCAGTCAGACCTGGTGTGACCTCTCACATGGAACAAGTGACCATAAGGAGCTATATCATGCCAGAGTAAAAGCCTTTCTGAATGGAAGTTGTTCCAGCTGGACAGAATCTCCTCGGTTTAATCCATTAACAGACAGTAAGGAGACGCCTAAGGAATGCTGTGTGTTCATAATAGTATTGAAAGTTTCCAGAGGGCAGATTACCAGTCAGAACTCATGTTGTGCAACAGACTCCACTAAAATGCTTGCAATAAAATTTGATGTGATGGTTGCTTAAGCAGGCACTAGTTTAAACATGGCTTGAAAACTGTGTTTATTATTCATTCTATATAGCAAAGTGATTAGGGCTTTGATCACAGAGATCCTGTGTCAACACTGGATTTGAATCACAGCTTTGTCATTTGCATGAACAGCCTTTTTGCCCAACTTCTTTGAGGTTCACACTAGACTTAGCATTAATTGCATAAAAGCAGGGGCAAACTAGGCTTTATTTAATCCAGCTCAAAGACCCAATTTGGCACCCTCCTCACAAGCATTTGCGTACATACACACACACAGAGAGAGAGAGAGAGAGAGAGAGAGAGAGAGAGGCTGGGAGCCTCAGTGGTGCCCCTCTGGAGTCTTCACCTGGGGCAAAAACCCGGCTAGTCCCCATCCTGTCCCCAGCTTTGGCACTGCATGAAAGCAACTAGCACATACATCTTTGTTATGTGAGTGGTGTAAAGTCTGGCAGGTGGGAGTTTAACTCTTTCTCTTCCATTACACTCCCAACAAAAATCACTTCGCCAAAGCTGTTATTTGCATTTCAGGGGAGCTGTCTTGCTCATGCTTTTTAGCTTACATTGAAGTTGGACTGATTGGCTGCTTTTAATATTCTTGGGTGGAATGTGTTTCTAAACCAAGATTTGTATTGTGACTGTATTTTGGATTTTTCATGTTTGTAAACTAGCTTAAGGCCTTTGCCTTTAAAGGCAGCCTAAAAGTATTTTGTTTTTATTTATTTATTTTAAAAAAGTTCAAGGGTGTTAATAAGAGTTTGTAATTCACCATGGCTCACCCTGCTATTATGAAAAGTGTGATAGCCTGTTGGGCTGTTGATTCTGGGTGCCATGAAAGGGCAATAAATTAAACAATTTATCGTAAGGTTGAAGGGGAGAGAGGTGCTTATGGAGTTTTGTGCCTCGGTTGCTAAAATAACTTCACCAGCTTTTGAGTGTTACAAATCAAGGCTTGGGCAGGGATGGTGGAGCAGGGAGGGGCCCCATTCGCTGCTCTGCAACCACACATCAAAACAAAAGACTGATGAGGGAATATTATCACAGTTGGCTATAGTTGTTTTCTTGTCACTATGCACACTCTAATATATACTTGCTTTTCTTTTCCAGCTAAAATTGATCCACCCGCATTTGCCTTGTCTTCTGCTGAAAAATCTATTTCAGTCATTGTGGCTGCACCTAAGACATGGAGCAGAAACTCCAGAAATGAGCCTAATTATCTGCATGAAATATATCCCACCCTACAATATAACGTATCTGTATTCAACACTAAAAAAAAGACACAGGTAAAACTTGATTAGAAAGGGGTATTAAGCAATTTAAATTGGTTCTGGATTAATTGGAGATGGTCATGTTATTAGGATGTTGAGAAGGGGCAGTTGTCTGCTTTGCAGATAACATATGTGGATAGATGATGAAGACGAAGGATAGTTCTTGGAAGCACAGCATAATGGGGAGTGTGAGCAATGAGGGTGAAAATAACATGGTTCTTAGTCATGTAAATGACTTTCCCCTGATAATGATGACAGAAAACCACTACACGTGCAAGACAGTTGTGGGAGGTTGCAAATCTGGAGCAGAAGATTATATGTGGGGAAGGGATATTTAACGCTTTTCATGTGGGCCGGAGTCTTGCTCTCTGCCTTTAAAACCTTCCCCTCACCCAAACTGCTTTTTGTCCCAGCAAGAGGAAGAGCCAGAACTAGCTGTGGCAAAGAAAGAAATGCCAACCTGGGAACCCAGGGCTTGGTGCCATGTCCAAGCAGATGCCTGCGATCTCATCTCAGTTACCTGAACTATGTGATGACTGTGGTGGCTGGGAAGAAAGTGAAGAAAGGAGAGAGATCCTGTTCTTTGGCTGTCATCTCTATCCTGATGGCACTGTGTTTTTTAGCTAGCTCACTTAATCACAAAATATAGGCCTGCTTTCTCCTTATATGTAGGATTAAGGCAGGGGTCAGCAACCTAAGGCCCATGGGCCACAAACAGCCCATGGACCCCCACCGCCTGCTTGGGGACCTCTGCCGCCCACTCAGTTGGCTCCCATGCGCCGTGCTAAACCGGCACAGAGCAGAGCGGGGACTGCCTTCCATGATGCTGGCTGGCTTCCTATTGGCTGCAGGGAGCTCCTGCAGCCAGTGGGAAGCTGCGCACACGTCCTCTGCACCAGAAGGCGCTCCGGAAATAGCGTTTGCGCATGTGTATGTGCATGTGCAGTCCAGCCCACCACGGCATCTGCGGGACCGTGAACTGGCCCAAGCCACAAAACTTTGCTGACCCCTGGATTAAGGTATAACAATCTGAACGGAGATGCACGTTTTTCTCCACTTTCTGGTGGTTGGTTCATAGATGAAACCATAGATAGAATGTTCCTGTGTTTCTGTGATTCTCCAGTATATTGTTGTATAGCTAAGTTCTGAAGTGTGACAATGCCTTCTTTCCCCTAGTGGATGTTCTGTATTAAAAGCAACAGACTTGATGTGTTCCATTTAGAGTCGAATACAGTGTACTGTGTCACAGTGCAGGTATATATTATGCCACTCCTGTTCAGTGGACTCTCCAAAGATTGCATTGCTACATTGAGAGGTAAGCAAAGAACTATAAAACACATCTCCAATACAGGATGCAAATTTGTTGCTTTAATATCAAATAGTTCTAAAAATAGATAAAAGTGGTTGAGAAATCCTTTTTTGTACAAGTCATGACAAGATCCTCTTGGCTTTACAAAGGTACGGTATATAACCTTGTTTCTTAGTGAAGCTTCTTTCTAAATAACAGTCAGCTGAGGACAAACCATATCTCCAGGCAACCCTAATTGCTGGATCTGTGCCTTAACAATAGGCTAAGAGCTATTACGGTACCTTCTCCCTTGAAATTCTAATAGATCATTAAAGAGCCCATGGATCTATAGAGACACCCAGCTACTCAAATGAGGCAAAGGATCATCCAAACCTGTCCAAATGGTGAACCACAGTGAACGATCACCTAGATTAGTGCAAAACAAGTACTGGAACTGCAGGAGTGGGCCCGATGTGGGGGAGGGGGGATCATTGCTCAGAAGCATAGATCATGCCCAGCAACTGCTGCCATCCCCATTGCAAGAATTTTCAAAGGAACAATACTGTATCATTCTCATTGAGGATTCTTTTACAAGAAAGCTATAGGACTACCACAGGCCATCAGACCACCTCAAGTAGTGGCAATGTGTGTGGGATTCCTTTTTAAGAAAAACCATCCATAGCCATTTCTATAATGTAAGACACAAAAAAGTCATGGAATATCCCTCTCCCCCACATGCACAGCGGATGAATGAGCTTGCAAAAGTATGAAGGGGAGGATATTTGACCAGTTTTTTTCCCAAAACCCCAGACAGCCACTACTAGTAAGCCTTGACAATATTGAGCTGGATGAGCCACTTGTCTGATTTGGTATAAGGCAGCTTCCTTTGTTCATATATGTTCCACGTTTATAGAGTTTTCCTTGGTTTATAAAAGTACTCTTTTCAATGTCAGAAGTCCTGGAAGCACCTCTGCCATCTTTCTCTTTCTTATATGATGATAAGGGGAAAACCTGCAGGCAGTATCCTCATCCAGCCCCAACCTACCCCCAAAAAACTGCTAAGGCAGAGATCTTCCAGTGTTCTGTCCAATTACTGCAAAGGCGCCAGGAGGTTACATAATGGCTTGCTTTCACTTGTGTCACCCTGACTAGCTTGTCCTTTAGGTTTTGCTTTTCCCACCCTGATTTACAATGACTCTCCAATGTTCTGTCACCATCACCGCAACATTTCTGGCTATTGGCCTGCTTAGGGGAAGCATCTTTGAGCTGTGTTCATTTCCCCATCCATTCCGTCTCAACCTGTAAATTACCCGCAATAGCCTAGTGCTCCATCCTCCAAAAAATTACTGGTCTCCACTTTCCACTCTTCAGTGAAGGAAAATCAAAAGTTATATATTGCCTGCTGCACCCGTTTCAGGTTAGAGTTGCAGAAATAGGCCCTCTTTTTACTGCTTGCCGTTTTCAGCACTGCCGTATTAAGTGGCTGCCTTTTGGTTCCATTCGATTCTGAAGAGCCTAATTTTGAATCTTTTATTAGAAACCAGCAAGTCAGCCCTTTTTAGTCCCTGTTAGCAATCTGTGTATCCCTAATAATTGGGGGAAATTAGGCAAAGAAGAATCTGCTGGCAAGGACCTCAATAACTTGCTAGGGAAGAACAGCCTAAATATAGAGTTTAAAAGAACCTAGCCCAGCTGCTCTACGAGTAAAAAGTTACAGAGTACATGTATTTTACCGCATACATACAACTTTTGAAAGGGATAATAATTCCCAAATGCTGTATTATAAGTGAACAAATTGGGAGAAAGAATGGTGTCAAAGTGCTTTTATTGAAGCTACAGGCAACATTTCTTCCTTTCTGGCTGGCTTTCATAATTTTCACTGTTGTTCAAAAATTTTACAATAATTTATAATACTAAAATTGTTGAAATCTCAACCACTTGTAAAATACTGTTGAGTTGTGGCATGCATTTTTTAATGTTTTGTATTAATAATTGATATCGTTTTTATTATTGTCTTCTTTTCTAATGGAGCCTATTTAGACTTCCATATCCAATTACCAGTAATAAATGCTGATGACTGCTGGATATTTGGAAAAATGAACAGCATCTAATGCACATATTTCTCCACAGATTCGGCTTTCAAGGAGGCTGCGACAATCTTACTCGGATATATTTTGCCTGTCCTTCTAACAGTCCTTATTATTTTGGTGTTATGCTGTTGTGTATATAGGTACATTCATATCACAAAGCAAAAGTACCCTACAAACTTGGTAAGGGTTCTTTATTATCCCTGTAGTATGTAATGTATCACATGGTTAAGGCCCAGTCCATACGCTTAAAAACTCCCCGTGTGAAAATATTTATTAACTAATATTAATCAGCCATAGGCCTGGTTGAAGAGGAACATTTTCGCCTGGGGCTCGGTTACTTGGATTGGGGTCACGAAACTGGGGCAAAGAGTTGGAACCCACCTCCCCCCATCATCTTGCCCCCAGTCCATATTGGGGGCGGGGGCTGCAACTGCTTTTTCCAAAAGCCCAAGACGTTCCCCATGTTATTGCTACATCATATTTAGTCTGAAGCCATATTAATTAGTCTGGGTTCTTTTCCAAGACATAAAAGAAAAGGCAAATGCTGGCTACCCCCGATTGGTTGTGGCTCTCAGACATAGGGCTGCTGAGAGCCTTTTTAAGTGGAGATGTCAGAGCCTAAACTAGTATTTTGTATAAGCAAGGTAAGTGCTACGCTACTGAGCTGTGGCCCTTCCCCCATGACACTCTTGATCTCAGGGTCGTGGGTTTGAGCCCCACATTGGGCAAAAGATTCCTGCACCGTAGGGGGTAGGACTAGATGACCCTTGGTGTACCTTCCAACTCTACAATTCTATTATATTATTATTCACCCACCCACCCAATATGTGTGTGTGCTGCATTTTCTTATTTCACCTAATAGGCTAATGTTTAGTAGTCTTCCACAAACTTGCTGATAAGCATCAAACAGAAAATTATTCTGAAGAATCTTTGCCTTAAGCAAGGACTAAAGTATTCTCAGGCAAAAAGTACTGAGAAGCCAGCAGCAAGGCTATATTTGCACATAAAGATGCATTAAAAAAGAAATCAATGACCACAAATTATGAATGGATGAATTAATTGCTGAGAAAAATAAGAAATGTAGAAATGTAGAAGCACTGAACTGGAGCTACATTGTCCCCAGCTATTCAAGCCCTTGGAATTTGCAACACATTTATCCAGCAAACTACCTGGCTTTAGTGTCTGCTATTTAAAATGCACTACAATCTTCTTAAACATTTTTCCAACTTGCAGCCAAGCATAGGAACCAGTCCATTCAATTAAAAATCTACAAATGTAATTCCTTGCTTTTTGTCTACAAAAGAGGATAAAAGTAATGGGCCCTGACAATTGTTTTCCTTTTAATTGTTTTCATTGTTGAACATAATTGGAAGACTACTGCCACTATTTATACATTATATTAGAAGGATGGTCCTGTGTGGAAGGGCTGCAACTTGGTGGCGGAGTATGTGCAAAGGATCCCAAATTTGATCCCTGTTATCTCCAGGTAGCGATGGGAAAGGCTACCATCTGAAAACCTGGAGAGCAACTACTTGTCAGTATAAACAATACTGAGCTGATAGCACCAGTGGTCTGTCTCAGCAAAAGGCAGCTTCCTAACATTCCTAGCTATTGTTTGTGCAGCAAAATAATAATAATATAGATCAGTTCTTTTTTGGGGGGGGGACACAGGGGTACGCATACCCCTAAACATTTTGTGAATCTAAGTTTGGCCTCATTGAGGGGCAGTATTTCAATATGAGTAGGAAAATGAGAGTACCCCTAAGCATTTTTTTAGAAAGAAAGCACTGATATAGTCTTGACTTGTTCCAGAAACTGGTCGAAAGGAAAGGAAAGGAAAGGAAAGGAAAGGAAAGGAAAGGAAAGGAAAGGAAAGGAAAGGAAAGGAAAGGCAGTGTATGCAATACTCCCCAATCTGCATAATAGTTGCGGTGTGAAAGCACATAAATTTTATACATAGACCTAATCCAGCTAACATTATTCAGGACTAAATTCAAGTAAAAGAAGTGAGACTTTGAGAGCAATCCAATGCACACACCCTTATGCCATGCTGAAGGGAGGACATCATATTAGCTGGAAGCGCACTTCCATGCACCTCTCCTGGCAGAGCCATGCACCACTGCTCTCCCCTTGCCACCCACCAAACAGTTGCCAGCATCAGGCCCAGAAATAGAGTGTTCCAAGTGCGGAGAGGCAGTGGGGCTGAACTAGGCCAGAATTCATTGATTCTGAGCTTGTCTGGATGGGAAGCATTGAGACGAGTTCAACTTGGAATGCTAATGTATAGACAAATGTAGAAGACTGCCCATGGAATAATCAGATCTCTACAACCCACATGCACATTAACACAGTGGTGTGTGTACAACCTTAGTAAGTAATTAACTTTAGCTGGGTTGGGGCTTTAACTTAAAAGTAGAGACTGCAATTAATGGATCTCTGTTTTCTTTTTAAAATTATAGCTTGCTTTTTTTCCCCTCCCCAGGTTTTGAAGTATAGTGACAAATGTGAGAGAGGCAATTTGTTTCCTTCTGAAAAAACTGTGATTAACTTCATTACTATTAATATCGCTGAAGAGCAGAAGACCTCTCTGGAGGACACTCGTTTACTAGGCAGTGCCCACAGCAGAGATGGATGTTGTGATGGAAACAGTGTTGAGGGAAAAGCTTCAGAAGTGCAACTAGCACAACAGGATTCTCAAGACGCTTGCCTAAATGAGGAGGTTATGTTTGAAAATGAGCAAGATGAGAACAAGCTACCCATGATGAAGCTTGTATCTCAAAGGGCTTCAGGTGAGAAGCACGAGGATGAAGTTGTGGTCTATGAATTTGACTTGAGGGCTGAAGATACAACTCTGGTTCAAGAGAAGCTGAGCTTAAAAGCTGGTATTTGCGCACTAGAGGGGCTGCTTCACAAACTGCAAAAAGTACCTCCAGATTTAATAACTGATGGAACAGAACAGGCCTACTGTCCCCAGTTTGGTGTGGGAGCTCCAGGTATCTGTTCAGGAGAGCAACCAAGAGAGACCCTTTTGAATAAGATGGGCTCTGGACATAATGGCCTCCAAGTTCCTTCACAAAATTTGGTTCCCAATAAACCAGGCCAAACTTTTTGTCCTCAATGCAATGTGGTGGCAGATCCTTGTTTGGCACATAATCAAAAAGAGACCTTCTTCGATGAGAAAAGAGCTGCACTTGAAAAACCACAAACTTTTGCAAACGTAGTGACGAGAAGTGCAACATCAAAGCATCAAACATGGGCCACCCAGGACCAGGAGGCAGCAAAGAAAGCAAAAGTGGAAGATGAGCAGAACATAATAATAGATTGGGACCCCCAGACTGGGATACTTAATATACCCTTGTCTAATTTAATAAGTGATGAAATACTTGAGAATGAAAAGTATGAAGATTCTCTGGAAGAGGGACTTCTGTCCAGAGTTTATGAGAGACAGTGCTCTGCTGAGCTGTTAGAGAGAGATGAAGAAAGGTATCTCCTGCACCTTAAAGAACAATGGGGACTGCATATACAAATGCAAACCTAACTTTCTTTCCCGTCATGATTTAATTGATTACTAAGTAGAATTATTTTAACAGTTAAGATTAATTGCTTGCAGTATGAAGCTGGTGACCATCAAACCATCAATGACTATCAAAGGCCATTGGTTTTAATTATTGGTGAACTCCAACAAAGTAATCTGCTTTTATTCATTCAGTAGTCTTGCACCAATGCACGTGTTTGTTGAGAATTGCATTAATTCAAACCAATATCTATATATTTTTTTTAAAAAACCAACACCAGTTAAACGTATACGATAAGGGCATAGAATACATGCTTGTCAATTTCAGTACTAACTTTAGATGGAAGACACTTGCTAGACTTTGAAAAGAAATTGATTGTCAGAAAACCATTCAGCTTTGAGATGATCTGTTTGCCTCAGATAGGACATTGTCCTACGGTAGTGGAGTAGTAGCTAGAATTGAACCACGTGATAGTGTCAGTTAGATGTAAATCAGCAAATAAAAATCTTGGGGGCAGGCATTGCTTGGCAGAGAGCAACTAACAGCCCCTGGTAGATACAACATTGTAATGGATCTGCCTGTGACTACCAGACGTGACTGCTATATGCCATCTCCAGGATCAAAAGCAGCATACTTCTAAATACTAGTTTCAGTGAAACAAATGGAGAGGGTGGCTTGTCCTGTTTGCGGGCTTCCCATTGGCATCTGGTTGGCCCCACTGTCTCTGATCCTTTGGTCTGATCTAGCAGGATTCTTGTAGCTTGACTCCCAGTCTCCTCTGCTTTTTGGCTACTGCATTCGTGCAACACCACACATTGTGACTGGTGTATGCTGGGAATAGCACATATAGGAAACAAAGGGGGAAACCCCATAGGCCCTGTTATGTCTCAAGTATGTGAAAATACACCTCCAGTCTTTGGAAACAGAAGTCTATTAAGCCTTTATAAGAAATGGGAGGTTAGCTGTGATCAGTTAATAGACAGAAAAAGCAGAGAACTTCAGCAAATGAAAATAGTATTTTGTCATTTTTGCCCTGTGCCTTTTGCACGCAGTATAGCTCTGAAGCAATTAATCGCGTAAAATATATCACTTTTCCATTTCTGCATCAACACAGTACGAGTAAATCAATGTTGACACTTTCAACATCCTGGAGGAAGTCACCTCTATTAGCCTAAAGCATTCTGATCACCTTAAAGTAATCAGGCCTGACACTTTAATCCAACCTCAGGAATTGGCAGCAGTCGGAACCTCTCCATAGGAAAGCATAGTTGCATCCAATATTTTGAACAATTTTGAATAATCAATTACATGGACAATTCAAGCTAATCGAAGAATTCACTAGCTTGAGTTTGAGAGTTTGGTTACAGCATGTTGGTAAATTACATGTAATTGGCTGTGTGAACACAGTCAAATACAACGTCACACATGTAGGAAGAATGAATGCATATTGTACATGCTGCTGGCTTTTGAAATTAAAATGTTGGCATTTAGTGTTAGTGCCATAGCTTTACCTTTTCCTTTTTGTGTTTTAAAGATAACATCTGAACAGGAGTATCTTGTATGAACAAACAGATGTGTGTCTGAGGCACGTCTGGCAAAGCTGCTTAAAACTTCTCCAAGCACTCAAACACTTCTCTACTCAGCTTTCGCAAATGTGAATTGTAAGGTTATGAAGGAAAAATAATGTGGGACATAAGAAAGCCAGCTCATACATACATGTACACCACTTGATTCCTTTGTCATTTGATGTCTCAAGTTAATCCATGAAAAGGTATTTGTGTCTGATGTGACACAGCAGTTCTTATAGTGACTCGTTTCCACTAGTCACCTTTTGGTGCTATATTCATCAAGTGATGATTGTGTATGTGGTGCCAAGGTTTAGGGAAAGCTATCTAGAGACATGAAGGTGAAATTATCTGTTAATATGCAGTATTAAATTCTAGAGATCTGGAGATCTGGAACCTCATACCTAGGGCCAAATGCAGCTCCAGTGGCCTCTCTGGGCCTTGGGACTTTCCCTCGCCAACCCAGCTCTGCTTTGCACCCTCCTTGAGTGTTTTTGGCTGGCTGGCATGTTCCCATGGATTCTGATAATGCTTCTTGCTGGCCTTAATGGAGGATAGGGTGAGTGTGTTGGTAAAACCTTGAGAGGCAAAGGGGCTACGCCTTTACATCCTACTGGACAAAGGGTGCTTATATTGTAAATCTAAAAACTGAAGAAAGTTACTGCTTCACAATCTTATAAAGCAGAGACAGGGGCAGGATAGACTTCAGTCCTCTCACCATCTACAGCTACCCCTCCCTCCTGCTAGCCTTGCACCTGCTGAGCCTCTTGCCATTAGGCAAGCCTTCCGCTAATTAACCTGTGGTCTTTTAAACTGTTGGGAGTATTGTTTTTATTATTATGGTATGCATTTTTGTGTTTTTATATTGTCAACCGCATCTTTGGATGAAGGTCTGTATAGAAGTTTAATAAATGATGATGATGATAATAATAAGCACCAAGACATTCAAGAAATTTGTGGTAAAAAGGAAACGTTGTTTTGAAAGTTGTTTACATCCATGGCTAGCTTTGATACCATTTAATTATAACAATTTTCTGATTAGTCATATGAGCATCTGCAAATGCCAACATTATTAAAGGAACACAGGAAAGGGAAGGAGTATTTGATATGGGAGCGGTGGAAAACGATATCTCTTTCAAATACTGTACTTCATCAGCTCCAGATAATGTGCCAAGAATTTTGAGCTGTGTTTCTTGATACACCCATGATTCAAAAGTCACATAATTTTTATGCTGCCAGATCCCCAGAGCTTTGTCTATTATGATGATACAATTCTTAGTAAGTTAGTAGTTTCTTTTTAAACTGCCCTTTTTCTTTTATTATGTTTGTGAGCTGCTTTGGGAGGTCTATATAGGGCTGTGTGTATGTGTGTGTGCGCGCACACACACACACACAAGTTAAGTACTGTATTGGAGTAAAAAAAACACCTGTCAGCTCAGTTACTTAATGCTTAGTTCATAAGAAATACAGAAGACAGGGCTCAAAGATACTAGAACTGAATCAACTTGACTGTACTTCTATGCACTGGATTACTCCCATAAGGTTTGCTGCATTATTCCAAAAGTTCTAACACAATGGTACATCAAGTCTCCAGTCTCCTTGTTCACAGAACCTATGAAAACATTGTAGCTAAAATTTTATCCAGACCGTAAAAGCATAATCCAAGTGCATTTTATTCTTTACCAAACATTCCAGATAGCACCAACCCAACACCATTTGCACTGTGTCTAGTTCTCACGTAGTGGACGAGAGCATCTTACACAGGTTACAGATTCTTGATAATGGGGAGATGGCACATTTGCTGCTTTATAAGAGGAGGAGAGGTGTGCCATGAAATGGTGAGGCATTGGTTGGGACATATAAGCTGCTAGTTATGTTTTGCTTTACAGGTCTATATGAACACTTCTGTGCTTCGCTTATTAAGGGGGAAAGGGCCCATCCAGCAAATTTAGAACAGAAGTATAATAACTATTTGGCAACAAGAAGTATAATAAGATGTCATTGTATTTTGTACAGGAGATTGTATTCACTTGTTCATCATTGGCATCTACAGGCAGTTTCTAGTAGGCACCTGAGACACTCAGGAAACTGCCACGCACACAACAACCTCTTTAGAGACAAACAGTAGTGATAGCCACAGAAATGGAATAACATGTCCTCAGCAAGCACATATTGTGGTTTCTTTGCTGGTAAAGTGAGATGCCTCTGTACTTACTGCAGAAGTACTGCCTGGAGAGAATATGGCTGGAGGACTTCCTGAGTGATCCTCGCTAATGTTAGGAAGTGGGCAATTTGCATGCAAGCCTGCAACTCTCACATGCAATCCTGGCACTGTATTATTTGGGGATAATACAGACACCAGAGATAATAAGCACATTTGTTATATCAAGAGTGGAATGAGCTTACCAAAGACATTCAACAGAATCTGCATACAGGACACTAATAACAGGCTAAATATTAAAAACCTTAAGATTTAATTTTTAAAGCATGCATGGGGACACATAGGAAAACTAAAATGCAGTAAAAGTGGTGAGGGGAAGGGTGTGAGAAAGAGCTTGTTCACATTTGAGCATTATTTTGCTGTTAATCTGCTTTCCCCCCATTTGGATTGGAATGGAGTAGGCCATATCCATACATGTTTGAATTTTTATTTGAGAGCCACTTCCATCTTTCCCATTCATACCACTAGGCATTCCTTTTATCCCCCCCCCCCGACTTCTAATTTGTTGGTTTTATTATGCCAGTTATGTACTGGCAGGGCATGGGCACAGATAGCTGAAAAAAATTCCTGTCCAAGAAATTTAGGCATTGCACTCAGGCAATTGTAAATTTGCTTGTACAGTTTTCTGGTTTTGTGCAAATCTGAGGGATCAAAAGAAGAAAAAGATTCCTCTGTTCAGGAGTGCACCTGAAATAGTTACGAATTCAAATGGAAAAGAAGTGGTACTTGGGGGAGTAGGTAAGGTAAAGGTAAAGGACCCCTGGACGGTTAAGTCCAGTCAAAGGCAATTATGGGGTGCGGTGCTCATCTCACTTCAGGCTGAGGGAGCTGGCATTTGTCAACAGACAGCTTTCCGGGTCATGTGGCTAGCAGGACTAAACCGCTTCTGGTGCAACGGAACACCGTGATGGAAGCCAGAGCACACAGAAATGCCGTTTACCTTCCTGCTGCAGCGGTACCTATTTATCTGTTTGCACTGATGTGCTTTTCAACTGCTAGGTTGGCAGGAGCTGGGACAGAACAACGGGAACTCACCCCATCGCAGGGATTCAAACTGCCAACCTTCTGATCAGCCAGCCCCCAAGGCTCTCTGGTTTAGACTACAGCGCCACCCGCTCCCTACTTGGGGAAGTAGTGGGTATGGAAAGGAGAGTACAGTGGTACCTCTAGTTACGAACTTAATTTGTTCCGGAGGTTCGTTCTTAACTTGAAATTGTTCTTAACTAGAGGCGTGCTT